CTGCTGTGTTCATCAGTCACACTGACTCGGTGAACACACCAGCTCTCCGCACCCGTGCCTGACGGCGGCAGTCTACACGCCGATGGGTGTGACTAAGCGGGCACCCATCCAAGTACTAACCCAACTGAGCGTTGCTTAGCTTGGGTGATCGCCGGAGTCACACACCGCCCGCGTGGCTACTGTCGCCGCTCAGCTCACAGAATATTTCTTGATGATTAAACCCCGTTTAAAAAACCAAATGACATCAAAAGATCATGAAACATTTTCGATTAATAAAAAAAACATTCGATCAATAAAATATTAATAGGTCAATAAAAAGGCACATACCTGGTAAAAAGAGAAGTCCTGATGTTTTGTACATACTGCCCATTACTTTCCACTTAACATCAAAAAATTATCACCATAATGCACACTGATCGATTATTAAGTTATCGTTATTAAAATCAAATTATTAGATACGATTTTCCATTAGGAAAACTATGTTTGAACATTACACTTATCAAGGTTGAGCTTAAAAGAACGGTTATCACTGCTCTATCCCAAGGAACGCGATTCCGGAAAATCTTAAAGTAAATTAAGATAGATGACACTTCACTTATACGCACCACGAGAAATTTCGTGCACAGTAAAATTTTGTTTACAGTACAATAAATGCACGCTAATGACCGGTGGAGTAGGTGTGGAAGTGAGTATAGGGCCTGACCAATGAATGATCAGTGAGAAATTAATTGGACAGATTTTAGGCTTCCAATTTCGAGAGTTTGCATTGGATTCGTTATAAATATCCGTCTCTCACCTCTAAAATTGAGGGAAGGCACTAGTCGCCTATAGATAGGAGACTATTTCAATATCTGACACTGCACTTGGACTTTATCACTCACAGCAGCAACAACTCCTGAAATTTTTATTGCTATTAAATAGACAATGTGGCGTCGACCAAGAGGGCCTCCCAAAGTCTGGAGAGTCATGGAGTTGACTGATCCCTCTGGACGAAAAAGGAAATTCTCTCTTCAGGAAATTCCAGAGGCTTCGTATGAAGAAGTGATCTCCCACATGTCCTCCATTTTCGCCAAGGACGAAGCTATGTGCTCAGCTCTTAGTAAGTAGCGATTAATTTCAGAGTTATTCCAGTCACTCAATCTATGAACCTTCTGTTCATTGATCCAGACTTATCTATTTATTTTTAGATGTGACAGACGATCCAGAAACAATGCATTTACTACAAGAATTTTGGAGAATGTTTTTGTCTCAAGGTATTTCTGTTGGAGCCTTTGAAATTCCAGAAGGAGGTGGAAAACCAATTCTCGCTGGTGTTAATCTCCTCGTCTATTCCGATGAAGAGACAGAAAAGAATGCAATTATGCCACGTGAGTGAAAAATAATAATATTTGAATAATATTATAAATTGAATAATATTCGAAAAAGTCGTCGAATGTTCTTTCAACAACCTCGAAAAAATCAAGAGGTTTAAAATATTTTCCAAAAGACTGATCATTCCAGTATCTGATTAAATGCTTGGAATTAAATTCATAAATGTTTATAACTAACAACTTGATCGTTGAATTTTTAAGATGTAAAGGGACCTTTTGGAATAATTATGTCAGCTGTAGAAGAAACTCGCAAACTAGCAGATCCCCGCGAACTTTACAAGGTTGATCGATTTTTAGAAGCTATAGGATTAAGTATAAGTCCCCAATACCGCAGGATGGGATTGGCAGTAAAACTTCTGGAAATAAGGTAAGGGCACTCGGCCTTGTGACGCGACGTCTTTTTCATTTGCTATTTTTCATTTGCTATTCTGGTTCTCTATAGTTATCTCTGTGATATTTGTCAGATAATTGAGTGATATTTTCTGCCTTGTTATTAGAGATGACATTGGAAAATGGTATGGGCTGGAATACACGTCAACACTTTTCACGAGCTCAATTGCCCAGGCCGCAGCTACAAAAGCTGGATATACAACAGATGTTGAAAGATTATACGATGAAATATTTCCATCGGATAACAATCCCTTCCTACCACGACTCAAGGGAAAGAGTTGCAAAATTATGTCGAAGCGAATTTCTTGAGTGGATAAATATTCATATTGTAATGTAAACTGTGTTCTCGTATAAAGAGATGGAACTTGAGACGTTCAGTGTCTATTTTATTTTATCCAAGAAATTTTGAAGATATGTCTGCTTTTTATCTTTGCTGTTCTCATTCCCTTGCCTACACCGCTAGTAAGTATTCCCCATTTTTCCAATTGACCTAATTCATCTCGCAAATTTTGTACTTCCTATGCAATTTGTATTATTGTTCATAACGCACGCGGCCGTGAGTGTTCATGGATAATTAGCGGTGTTGAATTTTTCAAACAAAATTATTAAAAAATTATAACTTACATTGTGGAGAAGAGGCAGTAAAAAAGAACGTATTGTGCAGTCTCTGCAAAATGTATTGAAGAATGAAAACACATTTTCTCATAAATACCACTCATTATTTCTCAGGGGTATTCTCCGAGTTCTTCTCCTCCTCGTTGATTTCTTTGTTTTTGTGTGGATCGTCTGGCTTCATAGCTGGGAAGAACAGCACTTCCTTGATGTTATTGGAGTCAGTGAGAAACATCGTTAGTCTATCGACACCGAGACCCCAGCCAGCAGTTGGTGGAAGACCGTATTCAAGAGCTGTGCAGAAATTTTCGTCGACAAGTTGAGCTTCATCGTCACCTGCCGCTTTGTCCTTAGCTTGTTGCTCGAATCTGAATCACAAAATATTTATTTCAAAATGAATTATTTCTTTATTAAACAAAAATATTATTCCAGCAATGGACGCACACGTATCCTCTACTCTCGAATTGCCAAGACTTGAGGAAAATTCAGAGTGTGTCAAACCGTGCTCCAGATACAAAACTGGTGATTAAAAATATAATAAAATTGTTGACATCAATCAAATAATCCGTCACGAGATCCATTTTTGGAAAAAATTTCCTCAAGCTCTTGACAATTCCTGAATAATTCGTAATACCGAGATTATCTTAACGAGAAATTCGTGTTTTACGAGCGTCCTATAAAAAAAACAGGGAATTCTCCGCATCAAAGTGATATTGTTTTTTAAAAATTGTGAAGATGTGTGCTATTCTTATTCTCGCTTTTGTGTTGGCTCTTGCATCTATTACGGGTAAAGATATCATCGTACTTGCATTAGATTTATGTAATTGAATATTTCAGTTGACGCGAAATGGAATTAATATTTTAATCAGGTGCACAACCCCAACTTGGATTTGGAATTCTCAATCCATGTGGCCCGAATCAGTCACTTCGTTTGTGTGGACCTCTCTGTCCGGCAATTTGTGCAAATCTAAGACCAATATGCGATGTTACCGTAAGATATCAAAATTTTGGCAAGAGTACCGATAAAGATTCTCTCTGGAATAAAATTCCTCTGAATTCCTGAGCATTTTTACATGATTAATATTTTTTCTTTCAGATATGTATACCAGGATGTTTTTGCAACCCCGGATATGTGAGAATAGTGCGTAATGGGCCTTGTGTAAAAGTATGTCCCATAGGTCCCGGGGGTTTAACCTCTAATATTTTAGGTTTAGGATAATAATACGGTAAAAACACGAATTGGTCAAATAATAATAAAAAATGCAATGAAACACGCGTGGTAAATAAATCTATGATAATAAAAATCCGATTATGAATTTTTTCCAAGTATGAAAAATTATTCTTACCTGTCTCTTTGCACGACAGGATCATTCAGCTCGGTGTAAGCATTACAGATTTCCTTCTTCATGACGAACAACTCGAATCTCTCGGTGAGGCCCTTCTCCGATCTGTGCCACTTGGCAAGAGGCGACATTATCTGCGGATGATCCACGATAAACGTAGGATTGATGCACGTCTCCTCGATGAAATCCCCAACGAGTTTATCCAGTAATCTGGCTGTTGTCCTGGGAGCAGGGCACTCCACCTCGTGCTTCACACACAAATCACTCAGGAATTGATTGGCCTTCTTCGTACTGAGTTCGTCAGCCTCTGGGAACTTCACTTTTAACTTCTCCTCGAGGGTTTTTATCATCGAGACTCTTCTGAAGGGCGGCGTGAAGTCAATCTCGACAGCTTCACCATCCGCACCGTCCGGATGATATTTAATCTTGTAACTGCCATGAATGCTTTTCACCATTCCTGATATCATGTCCTCTGTTATCTTCATGAGATCGTTGTAATCGGCGTATGCCATGTAGAATTCACAGGTTGTGAATTCTGGATTATGGGTCATGTCAATTCCCTCGTTTCTGAATTGACGACCGATTTCGTACACCCGGTCAATTCCACCCACAATTAACATCTTCAGATACAACTCTGGTGCGATCCTCATGAAGAGATTCATATTCAGATCATTATGATGGGTCACGAATGGTTTAGCAGTGGCTCCACCAGCGATCATATTCATCATGGGAGTCTCAACCTCCAGGAACCCCATGTCATCCAGAAATTTCCTAACGTGAGCAATTATTTTTGCTCTCACGTGGAACTTCTGTCTGACTGAATTATTCAGAATCAAATCCAGGTATCTCTGACGGAATCTCGTCTCCTTGTCCTTGAGCCCGAAGTGCAGGTGTGGCAGTTGATGGAGACAGGGGCTCAGCAGTGAAATCTTACGAGGTAAAATGGAAAATTCCCCCAACTTTGTCTTGGTTGGCACCCCGATGACACCCACAATGTCTCCACGACCAATTTTCTCGTTGTCGGAGAGAAAATTCTCTTCATTCTCGTAATACTTGGCATTTGCCATTATCTGCACCTTCAGACCCTCTCCTCTCAGGTCGTAGAAGATGAGTTTAGCACCTGCTCTTCGGATTGAGTGAATTCTCCCAGCAATACTGAGAACATCGTCCTGGAGGATTTCTCCCTTTTTGACCTTCTCCGAGAATTTCTGGATGAAATCCTCCAAGGATGAGGACACGTGGAATTTGTGAGGGTACGGGCTATCGTTGGACGCCTTCAGCTGATTTATCTCGTGCGAGCGCAGTTTAAAGTACTCCTAAGAATTAATGGAAACACGCTTTGAAATTTTCATAATATCCATCAGTCTCTTACTTATTTTCGGAATAAATCGATTCCACAATAATCGTACATGACTTGAATTTATAATCATTTTCATCTTCTCAACATTTATAATGAAAGAACTACCATAGAATTAATGCATTCACGTCAAACGTATTAAACCAAAAATGGAATGATCTTTCCTACTAAAATATTCAGGAATAATATCTTGAATTCAGCAAATGCCAATTCCCATCATTAATGTATACCTCGATTTGTAGAATGTCTAATTATTTATCATATCAAAAATGAAAATCATCATATAAATGGCCATATTATTCCTGGACCGAAAAAAAAATCGCGATCATTTTAATCAGTTTTCCAGAATATCTTTAAATAATCATTTAAAAAATATAAAATTCACTTACATTAGGACTGATATCAGCATCATTGAGCCCATCCTTCTTATCATTAATTTTGGCATCACTCTTTTCTGCATTGACTTTCGCCTCCTTTTCCGTTTTCTCCTTGAGTTTCTGTTCAGCCTTGAGCCTGCGTTTCAGTTCACTGAAACAATAATAAACCGTTGAATCTCTTAAAGAAAAGACAAAACCCGACGTCTCAATTTTAATTATTGGCTAACGAAAAATTCGAAAATAAATAATATGTTAGAAAGTGAAGAGTGCCCATTATTTTTTGAATAATTTCATATGAATTCAATAAATTTATTTTCTGAGTCTAAGTGATACGCACTTGAATGCAGGTCCACACACTGAGATATGACGCAATTTTAGATATTGAGAGCTCAAACACGAATTCGGCAATGCCGGTGTCAGGATCAGAGCCAGATGTTTGGTTATCGGACGAAACATTCTTTATGTCAACTCAATTGTTGCCCTCTCCCTCTCAAAACTCCATGGATTTGACTTTATTCGAATCTTTATTCAAAATTGCTATAAAAAAACTATTGTAAATATTAATTATGAACAAAACAACGCGGGAGCCACAGAAACTAAAATTGCATCATAAAGAGGTTATGATGATTTGAGATGGCATAAGTGACGGAAAAAATTGAGGAAATGACGCGGTAATTTAGTAGGAGAATTTTTTAAATAATAATCTCAATAATTACTCACTTTTTAGACAGTTTTTCTTTCGCCACATCTGCCATGTTGGTGTATTATTCTCACGAAAATGCCTGCTGGACTGAATCACCACGTGTGATGAGGAATTCCGACAGGTGGCGCGAGTTCACAGTCACCGCGATTTTTTAAAATTGTCCATTGACACTAATCCACACAACATTCACTTTTTTTGTTCTTCTAATTATTCCAATTCACATTCCACTTTTTTGAAACAATTTAAAAAAAAATCACTTCTCAGGATGCGACGATTGGATAGAATTTTCGTGTTGAATCGTTTCCATAGTAACAGCACTTGTTGTATCAGTGGAGTTTCTCGCCATGCGAATAAGTTTCCCTGTGGATTGAATAATTAAATTTAGTCTTTTGAAAATGGATGGATTCAGTCATTCGGATATAAAGGCACTTCAATCATTATTATCGGTTGAGAATGAAGATTCTGACTCGGATGGTGATCTCGACCAGAAGGGAAAATATAAATTAGGTAAATTAATTTAATCATCGAATGTTTCTCTGGTTTTTCATAATTCACGTCAATTTTTATCCGTCAAAAATTTTGAGGTAATTATTTTAATGATATTTTAGGGCCTGGACACATTGGACCCCCGAAAGACTCGAAAACCATGGGAATTAGTCCTCATGAATCCCTGAAGCCCGTTGGCCACGATATTTGGCACCAATCGGAAATAACAACTTCACAAATTACTGAAGTTCTGGACTCAAGAGCGCAACCGGAATATGAAATTAAGTTCAAACAGGCAGTTACCACTGAAGACGTATTTCTTGGTGTTAGTACCCGCAATTATCGACTTATCTTAATTCCCGGGTAAACATTTCAAACCAGTAATTAATACCCGAGTTTTCCTTTAACCAATTGTACGTAAATATTCAACGAGAAGTTATATAGGGGTTTTTCAAGTGATAATAATAAGTAATCAGACATATCAGACTGACACTTTCGTGACTAATTCAATTAACAGATGGGATTTAAGACACCTGCATCGACATCCTGTGAGTGGCTGTCTATCTCAATAAAAATGTCAGGAGAAGAGAGAGAAAAAATCGATCTACAAGTGGAAAGAGATTCCATAGATATTCGAAGTCCCAAGTAAAAATTGAATTATTATTACATTTCTCTCAGCCGAATCAATTTTTAATCAATAATGATTGTTCCATTCTCTACACAACAATTCTATCAGTTTTAATAAAAAATCTCCACTTGCTCGAAAAATTGTAAAAATTGTATAAATCAACGTCATAATTTCTATTTGCAAAAATTCATGAGGTGGATGTAATTGAATAAATAATGTTACTGTTTTAGATATCGACTCCACCTGCCAACCCCTCACTCAGTGGATCCAAATTCCTCTACAGCAAAATGGCACGAGGATATATCAACTCTCGAGTTAAATTTGAGAATGACCCGAGAACTAGACGGTGTGAACTTTTAACTTCCCAACGGTTCCCCAATGTTTTTTAATTAAATAGTATTCAACGTGAAATTCTCTCGATAACAGCTTGAAGAGACTGGATGAGAGAACGTTTGAGATGATAAATAAATAAAATCGATTTAAAAAAATACATCTCGGGCTTTTTCTAATTAAACACACCACCGCGACGAGCAATTAATGAATGGCCCCAGAATGCTTCTATTGAGCGTGAATACACCTTTACCCACGTCGACTTGTAATTTACACGTCGTTAATTTCTCCTTTATATTCATTTTAACTTAATGAAGTAATTACTTTCATTGCCTGACAGAGCAGTACATGGTGGAGTAGATTAACACTTTATAACACTAGCCCTGATTTTTATAAAATTTTTAATCAACCAGATATTTTCACCTAGACTTTAGTTAATCCGAATTATTACTTCAAGAAGAGATTTGGATTTGCAAATTCGAAGTTATGGATAAATTTATTCTACCTCTGGAATATAGATTTCAGGTTGATAAAGAGAAAATAATTAAAACGAGTTTATCATCTCGTGTCCAGCATTTTTTTCTGGCAAATTGTTATCGGAATATTCGAATGGAACCTCGTCAATCCCTTGAAACGTTAAATTTGAGCTAGATTGATGTTCGTTATCTCCCCTATTTACTTGTGCCCATTCAACCGCAGTTCAGCGATGACAGGCGGTGAAACCCTCGCCCAATACGAAAAAAAGGCAACGAAATTACAAAAATTGTGCTTTAGACTTTTTCTTTCTTTTTACCTCACCGTCAGAGGGAATATCAAACATCCGTGTCACTACTCATATCCAATGAATAGTACATTAAAAAAATGAACATCCACGAAATATAAATAAATACACGCGATAAAAAATTCAACTCCACGGAAAAGATAAATAATTATTCAAAATGAATGATCAATTTCGTGATAATTATTCAATTAAATCACAACTGGGAACTGCGATGTTAGAATATAATTGAAAAATATCTCGTTAATTAATTTCAGTCTTTGGATTTTTGAAATTGGTTAAATATAAATGGCATGTTCAATTGTATTTTAATCATAGGAACTATCAGCTGATCTAGATCCATTTGTGGATGGAATCAATTAACCGTACAATCAATTGAACTGCAATGAAGTTCCAGTTGCGTAAGCACTCTAGAAGTCAATACCGATCGCGAAGTTTACCACAACTTCCATTAGACTTGAATGAACTCGATTGAATTTAATTCCCCTCAGTGATAATCCTTTGATGTTTCAATTGAAAATAAATTCACGAAACTGCCACATATTGATCGAATTATAAAGCTATCAATTAAATATCTGAGAACAGTAATTTTTCTCGATTTTTCCTTTAAAAAACCACGGAAATATTCTCTGGAATTTGTGGGGAAAATTATCCTCATCAAATTATTTTATCTCAGTGATGATTGTATCGAAATTGATTAATAATCGATGCGATCGGAGATCAATTGCTGATTTACGCAATATCCTCTTGTGCATTTAATTATCTGTGACCTTTTCAATACAAAAATCAAGGGTTACGAGAATCATTAAGAGATAACAATCCCCCACTGATTACAGATCCCGTTGTAAATCATTGTCATTGGTTAAATCACTTGTTCTCAGTTATCTTTGATGTGCGAATTAATTGACCGCGTCACCACCATTTCGCGAGAATTTACGCGGGAAAAAAAAGGGGTTTAAAATGGCGTCATTCAGGGCTAGTTCAGATCACAAATCCCGATCAATTGACCCGAGTGACCACATGTCTTTCTGGAAAATTAAAATCAAGATTCAGTGAATGGATTATAAATTGCGTGCGTCACTCTTTCGATTTCTCGAGGCCTTGACTTCATTACACTGGCTTTTGATTGTAATTTTTTTCTCATCGAATCAAGATTTTTCCCATTTTTCAATTTATAATTCTTACGACATGATCCACTCGTGCCTTTTTTTTTAATGACGAAATAACAATAGATTTTACGAGATAAAAGAGAGATTCATAAAAATATTTTAATTGGACCCATCGATCGGCTTTCGGTAGGTGTTATACACCGCCATGATATTTTTTTTTTTTTGACTTATCTACAAAACTGATTGGATCGCTCGTTATTATCGATGATATTGTATCAGAAAAGAATGCAAAACATTTGTGTTGATGGGAATTTCCGGCAATCGGAAATTACCCCACGGTATATCCCACGGCAACTAAACTTCTCCAATAAGTGTCGCACTGGGAGTTTCAAACGCTCGAGTTTGTTATTTACCCGTTTACAATGATCCATTTTAATTAATTTT